GTGATCTCATAATTTTCAATCAAAAGGACAAATACCTAGATATTTAAAAATATAGGTTGCTTTGTGTGTAAAATGAGGAGTTGTTTAAAAAAGGGATATGAGAAATCTATACAACTAAAAAAGCTTATGATATTTTGAATTAATGCATGGTTTCATTTAAGAGTATGTTTGATTTGAGAGAAATAAGGAGGTGAAGAGAAAAATGAAGGATTAAAGTTTTATTTAGTATGATTATAATTTTTTATTTTTAGTTGTGATTTTCATAATTCCTGAAACTATTGAAAATTAAAATTAAAGATATGTTTAAAATAAATTTTAACACTAACAAGTAAAAATATGAATTTCTTTAATAGTACTAAAACTATTTTTGTTCTTATTTCCTTAATAATCATAAAAATATGTTACAAAACTAAATGAGTTTTTTGTTTAGAAATGTAAAATTTATAAAAATCAAAACAAAAAACCAAGAACCACAAACATACTCAACAAAGGTTAGATTAACCTTCTATTGTCTCTGTTCTTGAATGAAAACAAAACTAAAATACCATTTAAATGTAAATTAAAATACATGACATAATTGATTCACAAATCACATCTCTTTTTGAATCAAGATACACAACAAATTAAAATGCTCTCTTTCACACAATAAAACAAACAAAACAAGAAAAATGAAATGAAGTGGTCTCTAATGGTTTCCAGAATTAACTACTTGATAATCATGTCACACATGAATTTAAGAAATTGAAGATTCTTTTGAGTGCCAAAGCAATGTGGGAACTTGGTGGCACAAAAATCTAGCTTCTTGCGAGTGTGCGATTAATACCTACAAGGAAATGAGAAATCATCATTAATACATATAAAATGATTATAAGATGAAATAGAGAGTGCACCATCCATATGAATGGAAAGGTAAATAAGACAAATGTATACGATTGAAGTAGAAGCCCCCTCACCTAAGAATTCGTTGCACCCATCTTCAGCACCATTATCATTATCCTTTGCAGAATAACTACTAATACTTTCCTCAAATCTTAATTAGGCATTCTGTACCCATAAGAACAACATTTATTAATTAATGGTGCAGAAAGCAAGAATATAACTAACACATGGATAACCAAGCTCTCTTTTCTTTTTCTTTTCTTTTTTTTTTTAAAAAAGAAACATTAGAAATATTGAAGCAAAAAGAATAAGACTTAGGGTTCCCTCATACATGCTATGAGAAAGATGCGATATGTTTGTATAGAAAGATTTCTAAAGATTATGCCTAAGATGTCAAGTATATATAAACACAAGACCTAGTTTACAACGACCATGAATAATCTCATACATAGAGATAGAAACATCACCTAAAATTCCACTCTTGTTCATAGCCATTAATTACCATCTTCTTTAGCGTCATGATCATTGTTTTCTTCATTGCCCTTTTTGGGATTGCGAGTACTCTTTAACCATCAAAATAATATGTTGAAAGGGGAAAGCAAAAAATGTAGTAAAAAGGCTTATAACTGAAAGTGCTTCCTTGATTAGCATGGCAAATTAAAAGAAAAAAAGGTTCATCAAATTACCATGACCTTGCACTCTAATCCATTAATCATATCTAGATAGTTTTGAACATCGTTAGTAGAAGTGGACACTACTCAAATAAAATAAAAAACATAATTTAGGAGATACTTTAATTAATTTGACCATGTTCTTAACTAATGATTAAGGAAAAGGTTGAAGAAAAATCTTTCAAAGGTTGAAAAAAAATAAAAATGAGGAAGTCTTTGGAATCATCAATTAATGCATACCTTTTCCTTGAACAACTGTTGTATAGTGCTGTTAAGATTACCCTGCCAACTTCCTTCATCTTCAACTTCATCTTCAACTTCATCGTCTTCATCTTTATTAAAAGTATCATCTATTTTTTTCTCTATATCTTCATCTATATCTTCATCCATGTATTCATACATGTCTCCTGTCAATTTCACTTCATGCAGTTCTGGTGTGCTTAGTTCTCCCTCAGAGAAAATCTGCATATTTGGACACTCTGTAACAATTACCTTTTTCAAACCTGGGAATTTGAAGTTGCATTCCCCTGAGCAGAAGCTTTCTAGTCTTGGTAGACCTTTAAGTTGCAAACACTCCAATTCAGTGAAAACAATGCCATCATTCACAGCATCACCTGAACATACGACAATTTCTTCTATCATCTCACAATTGGCTACTTTCATTTCATAGAGCTGCCTCAAGCTTTTTGCTGTTGAGTATCTGACTAAATTGACAAGTCCATGACACTCAGATACCACTAGAGTCAACAAATTGTCGAAATATACAGTGGAGGGAACTAAATTCTTCAATCTGCTACATTCCTGCACTTTTAGAGTTTCTAGGTTTCTGAGAATGTCTACTTCAAGTTGGGATTCTTCCTTCCAAAGATGTGTTAGCTCATGAAGTTTGGACAATCTTAATGTACTTAATGGAGTGCGTCCACATACAGGTTTTTCCTCACAAGTAACTTCTTCACATTGGAATATTTCATCGAAGAAAGCATCCTTCACAAGAAGCTTTTCGAGATTGGGCAGGGAGTGGAAGAAGAAAGGCAGGAGAAAAGCCGATTGCTTAGGAAAGCCAAGGAGGTGCAGAACCTTTAGTTTACCAAAATACTCCTCCGGATTATGTCCACACTGTATCTTTATATTGTCATTCCATTTCACAGCCAGCCGTTCTAGACTAGGAAATGTAGCCTGAGAAATTGACACGAGATAAGAAGGCAATCCAAACTTTAACTAAATCTATTATTACTTGATAAATCTGTCATCTAAGTTATAGAATAAATTTAAATTTTGAAAAAAAAAATAATTCTTTTACTCTTATTTCTAACTATAAAAATTGAGTTCCACATTTTTCTGCCCTTGAAAAATCACTTCATCTCACATAAACGCATCTATTTTTTCTTTCTTTACTATTGTTTTGTTTTTGCACTTCTTCCATTTTTGTATCGCTTCAATTTCAAGAAATAATAAATTATTATTTAGGTGATTGCTACGTAAAAATCTTTAATTATATAATCACATAAGTTAACTTGCAGAATATTCCAGTAACAAAGTTTCTTAATTTGCAAACTATTATTCACTTAAGCTAGACGAAAGACCGAGGTATTAAAATAAAAAAGAAAATATATGTTTTTTAAAATAACTTTTTTCCCCATGATGGCTAGAAGTTATAATTTAATTACATGGGACTTACTCCTGACATAGGACGGGGATAACAAAATTTTTGTTAGTATCAGAAAAAATGAGACCAAAACCTTTTTAAATTAGGATGATCAATCTCTGCAAATAGTAATTCAAAATAAGGTTGAGATATTTTTTTACATGTTCTGATAATTTTATTTCCTTATCTTCAAAATTAAAAAAAAAAAAAAAAATTAGTACACAAGGGGAAACAAATGGAAAATTTTCTTTATTTTGTCTTCATATATTACTTTTCCTATTTTCTTTCATTCATTTATTGTAAGAACAAAAATGAAGAGCATGTATTTGTATAAGATATATGCAATTTTTTCCTTTTGGACTTGATTGTACTTACCTTGCTAATCCAAAACATGAGATGCTGAGATTCCCTTTCAACTTGGCTGTCTCCATGTGTCATCTCAGTGCTTGAAAATTCTGAAGCAACTATTTGCGCTCCATGGCAATCGATCACAGCTAAACTTTTCAATGATGGCCATTCTCTGATATGCATTTGAGGGAAGAAACTCTTGAATTTCGGCAAGAGTCTAAGCATTAGCTCTGTCACTTGAGAAAATACAAGCTTGGTGGCTTCTGTTTCCACCCAAGTCGATTGTGTGGCTAGTAGTTTTTGTGATACAGTATCAAAATTGACTCTTTCAGAGTCAGAAAATTTTCCTAGAGAATCACAATTGGAGCAAAATGTTGCAAGTTGGGATAGGTCATTAAGTGTCAACGTCTCTAGTTTGGGGAACACCGTCTGGCAAATCTTGTCTTCTTCCACTGTCCCTTCTATCAATATTACCACTTCCATCATCTCACATCCACTAATCCTGAGTTCTTCAAGTTGCGCAAAATTTTTAACCATTGAGAATGTAAACAGATACTTCAAATTGGAACAATTGGCCACCTTCAACTTTGTTAAATTTTGAGCAAATGACGATATTGATGAAAGTTGATTGTTCCAAATTTGCTTTGTATTGATTGAGGACAGAATCAATGTCTCCAAGTTAGGAATCTCAACCTACAAAGAAGTTCTAATTTCATTAAGACTTTTATTCTTTAATCAAAGAGAAGTGTAGGAATGACATGGAAGCATAAACTTGAATTTCATATCATATAACTTTTGATGTAGAAAAATTTATTTGAAGAGGAATGACAGTACACAACTTTTTATATTGGCTAAGACTTTTGACCTTTATGCATCAAATACATTTATGTCCATAGTTATAGAAGTGCTATAGAAGAGTGAAAATTATACTCTACAAAAGAAGTATAATGAAGTTTTGTCCTTGTCAAAATTGTGAAGAAATTCTTTGAAAAAAAAAAAGAAAAAAAAGAAGAAGACTCACCTCATCACAGAAAAAGGCCTCAATGAAGAAATCAGGTTCTTCCTTGACATGCACTTCCTCACTTCTTCCATTAGCTATCTCTGTCTCTTTGTCACTTGGAAATTTGGAAGCAAATCTAACCCTCTTTAGACAGTTCTTTACAGTAATTTTCTTCAACATTGGAAACTTGAGGGTATCACTTCCCGCGTGGAAACTTGACAACTTTGAACAAGACTCTAGCAAAATGTTGTTTAGTTGTGGGAATATTAAGCCAGTTTCAACTACCTCCTCAACTCCTGCAGCCATGATCACTTGTTCCATTGTTTCACAATCTTTTATCATCAAGTCCTTGAGTTGCACAAGGCCTAATGCCATGGAAGGTGTCAGAAGGTAGCTCAAGCTGCTACAATTACAAACTTCTACATGTTGAAGCTTTTTGAAAGATGAGATTTCTTCATGATTCTTGTTCCAAATTTGATTCATGTTGAGTGAAGATAGCTCCAAAAAGTTCAAATTGGGAAACTTGACCTGCAAAGAGATTTTCTATTATGAACAACTTTTTCTTGATCCAAAGAAAACAATGTTATACAATTTCAAATTAAGAATCTGAGAATAACTTTCATAAACATTTCCAATTATTGACACCCGTCTATCTTTGGGCTAGTTTATCATTGTTTGAGTAATTTCACATTTTAAGCAAAAATGTGGAAGAATATTGTCTAACTACAACTGTTTATGGTAATTGATATAAAAATGGTTAATTAATTGGGGTTGTTGGCTTCACCTTCCAATTTCCAACCCCTTTTTAAGGAGTTCCAAAATTGTTTTTCCCAAAGGAAAAAAATTTGACATTTAACACTGGAAAAAGCTTAAGTAAGAATGTTAGGCCTTTTATTAAAACTTTTATTATTGAATCAAAGAAAGGTGTAGGAATGACATGGAAGCATGAGTATGAATTTCATATGATATAAATTTTGATGAATAAGAAGTTTAGTTAAAGAGGGGTGGCAATACCCAGGCTTTTATACTTGCTATCACTACAGAATATATTCTCATTATATGTAATTTATAGATTAAAAATATATGAATATATGAATTCTATATACAGTCTTTTGAACATAAAGTTATTGATATAGTGGCAGAGTGAAATAGTGAAAATTATACGCTGTGTAAAAAGAACAGATGCTATAGATAAAAATTTAAAAGTTTAATGAGTCAAATTCTAAAAATTAATAATGAAAAAAATAAAGAAAAAAAAAAGAAAAAGAGAAGAAACCACCTTTTCACAAAAGAGAGATGGTGCAGCATTCACTTCATTTTCAGTGTTGATTGTCGTGTTCCCTATAGCAAAACCGGAGATGAATGTCTTCAACATAGAGCACTTGCTTATTGTAAGTTTTGTAAGGGAGGGGAATTCAAAAAAATTTCCAGAACAAAATCTAGTGAGTTTTGGAAGTTCTTGGAGAACTAGAGAGTCTAGCTTAGGAAAGAGAGTCCGCCTCATCCTTTTCTCTTCTTCTAATTGTTCTAAGACTATTACCCCTTCCATCATCTTACAGCCAGAAATCTTGAGCACTGTGACTTGCTGAAAACTCTGAACTATAGAGGATGTCAGTAGATATTTCAAAGTACCACAACCGTCCACAACCAACTCTTTTAAATTTTTAATAGAAGGGTTTTCTGAAATCTGATTGTGCCAAATTTGATTAATGTTAATTGAAGATAGCTTCAAAATCTTCAAATTATGAAACTCAACCTGCAAAGAGATCCACTGTTATGAACAACTTTTTCTTAATCCAAAGAAAACAATGTTATACAATTCCAAATTAAGAATGTGAGAACAAAATTCATGACAATTCCAAAATAAGAATATAAGAATAACATTTATAAACATTTCCAATAATGGCAGTAGACTCTGTTTGGGTTAATTTAACATTGTTTGAGTAATTTCACATTTTAAGTAAAATGTGGAAGAATATCTAACCACAACTGTTTATGGTGATTGATATAACAAAAGTAAATAAATAGAGATTGTTGTATCAGCATCAAAATTCCAATCACCTTTCAAAGAAGCATAAAAATAATTTTCAAAAAAAAAAAAAAAAGAAAGAAATGAAATGTAATAAATTTGAAACAAAATGAAATTTCAATCAGTTTTGAAAGAAACTTTTTAAAAAAAAAAAAAAAAAGTAGAAAACCTTATCACTGAGAAAAGGTTAAGTAAGAATGTTAAGTGTTATATTAAAACTTTTATTCTTAAATCAAAGAAAAGTGTAGGAATGACATGGAAGCATGAGTATGAATTTCATATGATATAAATTTTGACGAATAAGAAAAGTTTAGTTAAAGAGGAGTGGCAATACTTAGGCTTTCATACTTCTTGTCACTGCAGCATATATTCCCATTATACGTAATTTATAGATTAAAAATATATGAATTCCCTATATAGCCTCTTGACCATAAAGTTATTGAAGTGATGTAGAGTAGTGAAAATTATGCTCACCTAAAAAGAGAAGATGCTATAGATTAAAAAAATATGAATAGCCTTTTTGACTTTTGTGCAGCAAATACATTTGTGTCCACAAAGTTATTGAAGTGATGTGGAAGTGTAGAAATTATACTATGCAAAAAAGAAACAGTGAAGTCTTGTTCTTATCAATTTTGTGAAGAAATTTTAAAAAAATAAAAAAATAAAACTCACCTTATCACAAAAAAAAGCCTCAACGAAGATATTAGGTTCTTTCTTGACAAGCATTTCCTCACTTCTTCCATCAGTTGTCTCTTTCTCTTGCCCACTTAAAAATTTGGAAGAAAATCTTACCATTTTCAGACAGTCCTTTACAATAATTTCCTCCAACGTTGGAAAGTTGAGGGTCTCACTTCCCACATAGAAACTTGACAGCTCGGAGCAAGACTCTAGTGAAATGGACTTTAGTTGTGGGAATAATATTGAGTCAGGTTCAACTACCTCCCCAACTCTTGTAACCATGATCACTTGTTCTATTGTTGCACAGTCTTTTACCTTTAAGCTCTTGAGTTGCCCAAGGCGCAATACCATGGAAGGGGTTAGGAGGTAGCTCAAGCTGCTACAATTATGAGCTTCTAAAGATTGAAGATTTTTGAAAGGTAATGTTAATTCTTCAGAATTCTTTTTCCAAATTCGAATTAATTCAGAAAATTCGGAGAGCTTCAAACTTTTAAACCCAAAGTATCCAACCTATAAAACCCAACAGATTAATTGCTTTGGTATTACACAGAACAAAATAACAATAACAATGATATTAATCAAAGAAAGAAAATACATTAATAACTCTATCCAATTAATCACAAAAATCAAATTGGAGAAATAAACAAAAATATTCCTTTTAAGTTTTTGAAATTAAAGTTCTTCCCTCTCTGTCACTAATGTCTCTATGATTATTAAATTAAGGATTTTAGAAAATGAATGATCAACCCTTAGTTCTTTTAACATACATTAGATTCAGAAATTAAGTGAAAGTGAAGCCGCCCTCAATTGACCTTGCAACCTAAGCTCTTCTTCTAATCCCCTTATTGAAAGTGCTCCTGTTCCTTGCTTTTGATAAAGTTCAAACAAGAAAGAATGGCTAGCCTCTTAACCATCCAAAAGGAAGAAAGTAGACCTATACAATTCTTTACCCTTCACTCTAAACTATCCCATACGATCCCACCAAAAAATTTATTTTAAAAAATTTTCTTAAATTATATTATATTAACTTGTTCTTCTATTTCACTAAATCTAGTAACATTAAGTAAGAAGACTGAATATATAATGCTTGACAAGCACAAGGAAATCATTTGAATTAGTGTGTACCTTTTGAGTGAATAAGTCTTGTATTGTGCTGTTAAGATCGCCTACCCAGTGTCTGTTCTCTTCATCTTGTATTGTGCTGTTAAGATTGCCTACCCGGTGTCTGTTCTCTTCATCATTTATCCATTGAACATTTTGTAATTCCTTTGTTACTGTCTTTCCCAAGGAAAAATATTTCATCTGTGGACATCCTATCACAATTACTTCTTTCAAAGATGGGAACTCCAAGTCACACTTCCCTGTGCAAAAGCTTGACAGTTTGGGAAGACCACGAAGTTGCAAAGACTGGAGTTGGCTATAGACAATTCCATCCTTCACATTATCTTCCATGCATTTGACAATTTCTTCCACCGAGTCACAATCAGTTATGCTCATTCTTTTCAACTGTTCTAAGCTTTTAGCTGTTGAGTAACTCACTAAATTTTCAAGTCCATGACATTTTGATATTTCTAGAGTTTGCAGGTTCTCAAAAGATACAACTGATGGCACTAAATTCACCAATTTGATACACTCAAGCACCTCTAGAGTTCTCAAGTTGTTGAAAATCGATTTGAGGTGAGATTCTTCCTTCCAAAGATGCATTAACCCATTAAGTTTTGATAATTTTAATTCACTTAACCGAGAGGGCGCATATACAGGTCTTCCCTCACTATGAAGTCTTTCACATAGGAATATTTCATGAAAGGAAGCTTTACTCACATCCAGCTTCTCAAGACTGGGTAGTGTCTGGAAGAAGAAATTAAAAGAAGGAAAAAGAGCTGAACAATTTTGGAGTCCGTGGAGTTCAATATCTTTTAGTTTGGGAAAATAGACCCCTGGATATTGACCACACCATATCTTCGTCAAGTTATCATTCTGTGCGAATTCCAGTTGTTCTAGACAGGGGAATGAATCCTGACAAATTAAGAAATACGTGTTATAAATTGAATAAAAAAATACAAAATAGAAAAAAGGGTATGATATACAATACAAATTCTTTGTATAACGTGTTTTGCGATTAAGCTACATAATGCAAAAGCATGCCATCTGTCCTACGTCACGAAGATTTTTGTAAGCTCATGAGTGTGTTTTTGGACCATTGCGCAGTTGGGGGTTTGTTATGACTACCTCTGGCATGTGATTAGACATGTTTTTTAAAGTGGCACTATGATATGTCATATTAATATGACATGCTTTCATGTCTAAAAATGTTTTACATTTATCTATATTCTATTTATATTACGTCTTGATTATATTGAGACCTATCTATATGTGAGTTAACCAACCTATGCTTACAAGCTGCATTTGCTCTATTCTTTGAAACGTCTGTCTAATTGGTTAGCATGAGCTCTAAACAAGTAAAAATTATGAAATCCATACTTCAAGAAAGGTAGTTATATATCACTTGTCAAAACTTAAACCCAAGCCAACATTTGCCTAATAGCTATATACATGTACAAGAATCTTCCATTAGAGATTAAAAAGAAGAAGAAGAAACATAACTAATCAAATTTTTTTACAAATATTATAATTTGATCGGCTTCATAAAATTAAATAAGAAGATATCAGATTACATTAAAGTGTACAAATGCAAAATTATAGATGGAAACCACATTGCATTGCATTCCCAATAAATATGTATTTAAGCTAAATAATAACAGGCAACTTAATTTTTCATATATGAAAAATTTTAGTTCCCAAATACTTCCATAGCAGATAAAAAAATAAGAGAAAAGTCATTATTTTTAGATAAAATAGAAATAAAACAAAATTTAGAAAAGATCAAAAGAGAATAAGGTAAGCCTCGATTAATTTTATTTTGATTTAGTTTTCCTACTTCTTCCTACTTGAATTTAAAAAAAAAAAATGATTTGTATGAGCTACATGCAATTAGTTTTTCCCATTTGGTGTCGTACCTTGCCAATCCAAAACATAGGATCTTGAGTTTGCCTTCCAAGTCGGTTGTCTCCATATGTTGTTTCGAGGCTTGGAAATTCTGAAGCAAATGTCTTCACCTTGTCACATTGTTCCACAAGCATTCTTTTCAACAATGGCCATTTTGTGATGTGGATTTGAGGGAAGAAACCCTTGAAATTGGGTAGCTCTCTAAGTTGCAGGTACGTTACTTGAGGAAATACAAGCTGAGTGACTTCTGTTTCCACCAAATTTGATTGTGTGGCTGCAACTACTTGTGATCCACTACCATTGAGTCCTTGAGCTTCATATACTTCTCCAAGAGAATTGCAATTGGAGCA